TAGTGTTATTGTCGTATTATTGTTATGGTTTAATTTATAGGGATTGTATTGTTCTGGTGGTGTTATTGTTATATTTAAGTAGTAATATTGTTATATTGTAGTTGTATTATTGTCGTATTATTGTTGTATTATTGGCGTGTTATTATTGTGTTATTTTTTTGTTATTGTTGTATTATTATTGTGTTATATCTATCTGACCATTGTTAAAGTAGTGTGGTATGCAGTGTAAAAATGTGCAATGATCCAATCGCAGAGTCGTTTCTTCGCACCGCTAGCCACAATGAGCAAAAAGCTTATGAAAGCTACTGTGTCTATATGCTCATCATGTAGGATTTTTTTGTTAGGAAGGACCATAGCAGTTATTGGCTAAACTCTAAGAAGATTAAAACCAATGATTTTATTTGCGGAAAGGCTGGCAAGGAGTCAAACCCGACGGATACTGTGAAGTTCAAAAAAGCTGACACGAGTACTGGATGTCAAGTCATGGTTAGATATGTCATTGATCTTGAAAGAAATTAGACAGTTAAAAAATTCATTGAAAGGCATAACCACCCTCTTGCCGAAATGTTGATAAACATCTGTTGCGTTCTAGTAGAAAAATAGGTGAGTTAAATGCAAATTTGCAGAGATCAATGATAGAATCAGGGATTCAAGCAACAAATGCATATAACTTTATAGTCATAGAGGTTGGGGATGGAGAACCTTGAATGTACAAAAATAGATGCATAGAATTTTATTCAAAGAGAGAAGGGAAAGAATAGAACAAGGAGATGTCAATTCTCAAAGTCAGTTGTTTATGGAGAGACAAGCTACGGATATCATGTTTTCCTGAGATTTTGAAACCGACGAGTGTGGAAGAGCCATAAGCTTTATTTGGAGCGACAGGTTATCCAGACTTGATTATGATTGTTTTGGAGATGTGATAATATTTGATACAAGTTTTAAATTAAATAAATATAATTTATATTGCGCTCCTTTCGTAGGGGTGAACCACCATTGGCAAAACGTCGTCTTTGGAGTGGGTTTTTTGTCTGATGAGACCATTGATTCATTCATCTATTTATTGAAAGCATTTATCCGAATAACGGATGACAAGCATCCAACGACAACTTTAACGGATCAGGATCAAGGGATGGAGCGAGCCATTGAAGTTTGTCTTCCACAAACACGACAATTTTCTTGTATATATGTCATTAGCATAATCTGTGTCGAGTTTGTGGAAGACAGACTTCAATGGCTTGCGTCATAGCTTGATCCTGATCCGCGAAAATTGTCATTGGATGCTTCACCCATTATTCGGATAAATGCTTTGAATAACCAGATGAAAGAATCAATGATCTCATCAAACAAAAAACTCACTCCAAAGATGACGTTTTACCAATGGTGGTTCACCCCCACGAAAAGAGCGCAACAATAATTGTAGTTATTTAATCGAAAGCTTGTATCAAATATTATCACATCCCCAAAGCAATCATAATCAAACCTGGATAACTTGTCTCTCCAAATAAAACTTCTATCTTCCACACTCATCGGTTTGAAAATCCCAGGAAAACATGGTATCCTTAGCTTGTCTCTTTATAGACAACTGAATTAGAGAATTGACATCTCCTTGTTCTATTTTTTTTCTCTTCCCTCTCTTTGAAAAAAATTGTATGCATCTCTCTTCGTACATTCAAGGCTCTTCATCCCCCAACCTCTGTGGTCAAAAAGTTATATGCATCTGTTGCTCGAATCTCTGATACTATCATTGACCTCAGCAAATCTGCATTTAACTCACTTATTTTTCTACTGGAACACAGAAAATGATTATCACCTTTATCGGCAAGAGGGTGGTTATGACTTTCAGTGTATTTCTTAACTGTCTAATTTTCTTTAATATCAATGGCATATCTAACAATGGTTTAACATTCAGTCCTCGTGTTAGCTTTTCTGAACTTCACAATATTTGTCGGTTTTGACTCCTTCTGGCCAACCTTTGCGCAAATAAAATCTCTAATTTTAATCTTCTTAAAGTTTGGCCAATAGCTGTTATGGTCCTTCCTAACAGAAAATCCTACATGATGAGCATAGACACAGTAGTTTTCATAAGCTTCTTGTTCATTATGGACAGCGGTGCGAAGAAACGTCTCTGCGATTAGATCATTGCACATATTTCCACACTGCACATTACCACACCAATTTAACGATGGTCAGATATAACACAACAATAATACAATAATAATACAACAATAACACAACAATAACACGTCAATAATACAAAAATAATACGACAATAATACAAATATAATATAACAATATTACTACCTAAACACAATAATAATACCATTAGAACAATACAATCCCTAGAAACTAAACCTTAAAAATAATACAACAATAACACTGGAAAACTAAACAAAAATATCACATAACACCTTAATAAGACGAGAATAACACATCATTAATACAACAATAATACAATTATAACATTACAAAAACAAACCAAATTTTAAAATTTCTCACACCACTAGAACAATACAATCCCTAGCACTAAACAATAACAATAATACGGCAATAACACCGTAAAACTAAAGAATAACATCACATAACACCTCAAAAAGACAAGAATAACACGTTAGTAATACAACAATAATACAATTATAACACTTCTAAAACAATACAAATTTCTAAACAATCACACCACCAAAACAATACAATCTCTATACCATATATCATAACAATAGAAACCACAATAACACTATAAAAACTAAACAATAACATCACATAACATCACATAACACGACACACGACAATAACACGACAATAATACAGTATTAATATGACAATAATAAAACAATAACACAACTAGGACAATACAATCCATCAACCCTAAACCATAACACCAAAATATTAAATCATAAACCCTAAAAACACCTAACAAAAATCAGCTAAACCAACATAACACAGCAATGCAAAACTCAAATCAAAATAAAACTAAAGTAAATTCACTTCTGATTGAAGTTGGCTGCCATTATTTTCGGATTCAATAGCAATATTTCTTCGTCTACAGAGAAATTGATCGCACCAGCTCGAAACTCAGCGCAAAGAAAACCTAAAGAAACAAAATGTATTTTTCTGGACTGGCTGCAGCTCAAAAATGCGACAGAAGACTTTTGGCAGGATTAGCATCGGACTTTCTCGCTTATTGAATTGAAATCGGGTTTCGGTCAGGCTGGGTCGCGCCTTCTTAATTCATTTATTTTGCACTCTTTCTGATGCGCCCCGAAATTCCACGTGGCGAAGGTTAACTGGACTATGCTCGCTACTCTGCGTACAGAGTCCGGACGTAATAAGTGCTTGGTTGACGGGAGAAGTCATAAAAAGTGTAATCCTTAGCCACATGAATTCAAGTCAAGAAGCTCCAAAAGCACACTTCAATCGTTAAATGTTATACTATTACCTTCCTACCAACTTAAAATGCCGCCCATACATGCAAACATATATGTAATTTCATACATACATACAAAAAAAATAAGCTATAACATAATTTGTAGTAAGACTATATACATCATATTAATAACTATATATTAATATATGATAGAAAATTTAATAAATAATAATCATTTTTCTTGATGGTGATATTATCCATAGCATATTGCTGCGAGTAAAAATATAATATAAACATGCAATAAAAAATAATTTGCGAATAAAAATATGATAAATAAATCCGAATAGGTAATTATTTTGAGACTTTCTACACTTCATTAATTTTATATTTATACAAATATAAATGCTAAATTAGTGTCAATAATTCAAGCAGTGATATATCAAAATCGTTAAAAGCACTCGAGCAAAGAGAGGTAAGGTGCAGCATAACAAAGACACCTACAAAAGACATCATAACTTTGACACCTACAAAACTAGCGCCTTGGTATAATAAGGTCAAATGATGATATACTCGCCTCTTTAATGTAATTTTTTTTCTGTTCTAATTTAATAAAATTGATTCCAAGAAGTGCCACTTGGCAGTCTTTAATTGAAAAAAATGGGACAATTTTGAACTTGAATTCAAATACATGTCACAGTTAACTATCACATGACATGTGCCACAATTTCGATATAAAAAACTACAACTATTTTCTTTAATACTTAATTATCATATTATACACCTCATTACTTCTAAATTTAAACATGGTCATGATAATTTTGATTTTTAAGGGAACACCTATTTTATATATTACAAAAATATCACAGCATGTATGTCAATATGCTAAATTTAAATTCAATTGAAAACTAAATATATATTAGTCGACATTTAACTATTACTTAAAATATGAATTTACATTAAAATATATTGGATTCAAATTTTCTATTTAAATACTTAGCATTCAAATATTTCATTTATTGACTAATTACATATGGATATCTGATATTACTTTATAAAATCATAAAAATAATTTTATTTATAATTTAAGAAATATTTATGTTCCCAATCTTCAATCACTTCAACTCAAGCGGGGTTCTTTACAATACAACGAATCAGTTAACTTAATTCAATTTTAACATTATTTGAAGTGCAAGAATATTCAATAGTTTTGTAAAATGCATGCAAGTATAATATGTGCGTGTGTATTTGGGGGGACTTGGGGGTGCGGTTGTTGCAAAAATTGTTAGACGCTTTGATTTCCTCCAAAACCTTCCCCATGTAGACAACCAAACCGCCTATCAGAAGTGACTTCAGCATTCTCAATTCCAAAAGTAAGAAATGACACTGCACCTAACCAGCCAAACAAGTCTTATAACTTCTAACGGAATCCCTACTAGTTACATGAACTATTCACAAACAGTACTGAAAATTATGACCATTTAAAACGTATTGATTACGAGGAAAATTTCTTCTAGTGTGAAAGCTCTGACATGGAAGATGTATTTGAGATGAAAATTAAAAAAAACTAAAATTTAAAAAAAAAAAACTAGAGAATAAAGCAGTTCTAGGTGACAGGAAACAGACGTTAATGGCAGACCTGCGGAACAATGTGCTGCATTGCCCATTCTGGTCCAAATTCCTCAGCAAGCCGCTTCAAATTATTGGCAGCAGCATCTCTAATTGAGAATACCTAAAAGACAATATATATATATCATAGATTAATACTCATAAAGCAGATGTTAGAACACTAAATTTTTTGACAGCACCTCAAAGTTCCACTCATCATGACATCCACTTTATAATGGAATTAGAACTTTGAAAATATAAGTATCCAAGCATTCATGGATCAGAAAAAGAATCCAAAATCATGACAACTCGAATTATCAATTATTCGTTGAAAAGATAATAATCATATGAATCATGTAACTTCTGAAGAGTTCAAACAATAGATCATTTGAATCAAATAAGCTCCACATCTGTGAACAATACATAGTTTCAAATACTGCAGTTTACCAACAGCAAACTCTGCCATCTGGGAGATCCATTATACATCTATTGCATTAATAGTTACGTTTTAATAAGTTGAGCGGCAAAATTGGAATGAGCCCCGAGTTCTACCCTCATGTCCAAGTTATCATAAGTATGGAAAGTACATCAAACTAACTTGGGTTTGTAAAAGCAAGTTAATGCAATCTGCATGTCATGTTTATTAGACCCAATGCCTGAGGACCAGCAGCGTGGACATATAAAAAACGAAAAAAACAATTAAAAAAAACAAAACAAACTACAACCAGCAGAGCACAGGTACAAAACTAGTGGTCAAAGTTCAAGAAATGAAAATTCATAAATAGGCTTCTAAAAAAATGTTGATGGAATATCAGACCATCGACCTTGGGCCAATTAACTAAATAAACGCATGGTTACTTAAAAGCACCAACTGATACAATATGAGAATAAGAGTGAAGGTTAAGTTCATGAAAAGTAAACCAACAAATATGATCGTCTCACCACTTGAATATACAATCAGGAAAATTCAAGCAGAGAATAATGATAAAACCTCAACATTGCACAAATACTTGAAAAAAAACCCAGCGATCCATGTGGTTTATATATATTTAATCCAACATACCTTGTCTTCCAGCCACTGCATGCACAGAGCACCAAGCTTATCATCAAAAAATCTCACACCTAACTGACTCGCTAACAAGGGAATGTACTCAATGATGGCCAATCGAACACGCCAATGTCTGTCCTCTGCAAGCTCAACAATGGCAGGCAATAATGACTGGGACAACAGGTCAATTCCAATCACCTGCAGAAAAAAATGACAGTTAGTGCAAAAAAATAATAAAATTAGAAAACAAACATGAATTGTTAATTATGATATCAAGTTCACGATATCAACTTAGGCACAGTTACATCTGAAAATTAATGTAAACGAAAAATCACTACATATCATAGAAAAAATAAACAAGGATCTTACACACCAAAATGATGCAAAAACTTTAAAAAAAAAAGGTTAACAAAATCCAGAAAATGGCATTCTACATGATAGAATGAAGACATGAATATTTTATCAATTTCAATGCAGACAAATAGATAAATAATTAAGCACCTGCCATATTTACTGATATAAGTCAACTTGTGCCAAAAAAAAATACTGCCATTCAGCACTAAATATATTAATTACTCCAATAAGATACAGAACATCAACACATTTATGCTTTGTTTAACAATCAATTTTACTTTTTCAGAATTATATAATATGCTATTAGTTAAACTCAACATCTTTATCATTTATGCATTGCTAACGCTACCACTTATTTCTAGTAGCAGAATGTTTATCTTTTGAGTTCATTATAAATATATATTTAGTTCCAATAAACCTCCTCATTTACAGTAGCCAAAATAACTAAATGTAAGCTAAATATTCTTGTGGTCCATTTCACACCATTGCTACACAATTCTCCCTCAATCACCAAGATTGGTGATCAATTGAGAAAGGGAACCCAGCTAAACATATGCTTACAGGCTCTTCCTCATCATCTATTACTGGTTTGATACAGAGCTGCACCGCAGGCACAGGTAACACAGTCAACAAACTCATTTTGGCAAGCAAAAGTATTCTCTTCTCTACTACTACGCAAAAAAAATTAAAATTTGAATTTGTAATTCCAGATTGTTGAAACAAACATACTAAAAAGCTTGAAATCAAGTAGTTGAATGGTAATACAGATCTGGATTAACAAGTACTAAATATTCTTGGATATAATTACAGCAGAATAATTATATTTGCAGCGATGAAACCAAGCTTTCAAGTAAATATAGCTACAATATGGTACTAAAACTCCTAAAAAAATAGCAGTATCAAATTTGTTAAAACAAACACACTCATAAAGGTAAAAAAGAAAGTTACAATAAAAACACTTGGGGATACAATGCACAACAATTCTATTATAATTTTAGCTTACATTCAGAACAATAGAAACAATGGAATCAAGAAAAACATACCTGATTTACTTGGTCAAGCTTGCTGATGATGTTTAGTCTAACATCAGGGAATTCATCTTTCAACAAAGAAAGAAAAATAGGAAGAAGCTGTTCAATTGTTGCATCCTGTTTATTTAATTAAAAAAAACAAATTAGCCTGTCTATGGAGCAAAAAAAAAGAGAGAGAAAGAAACAACAACGTACATTCCTAAGTTAACTTTAGGAAATGTCACAACACAAAGTTACAAGAGCATTTAGAGAACCTCTAATTTTTTTTAATGACCCGCAAAAGCTTGCTAACGCACAGCAATTTAAAAAAGTCATAGCATCAGAATTGACTAGAGTAATCTAGTTATACTGCCAGCATACTTAAAAACAGAGCTAACGTGTAAAACAAAAGGTTATGGACTAATAAAGTTGGCAAACAGCAATAGCTCAAAGCTAAACAGCAGCAAAAAAATACAAGCCTTTATTCTGTCACAAATATTTTAGTGAAGAGTGTAATCCCCATATCATGATATGGCCTGGAAGGAACTTCACGAGGGGATGGAGAAAAGAGATTCCAAAAATAAATCTGGTAAGTGGAGCCACAATTACAATGATAGGAATGGTGAGATTGGTAGGGAAAAAAAAAACATGGTATCAGATGTGGGAGTGAAAAATTACTTTTGCAACACTAGCATTTCCAATCTTCTGCCAGGAATGTGGATGTGTGATTCCTTAAGTGTAGCACATATGTGACAACCAAGTTCCAAGGGAAGACCATCTCATCGTTTTCTTCAGCAAATTCTTTTGTAAACCAAATTTCTTCTACATATCTTATCATTGGCTTGATATTGTTCCTTATTATGCTCCAAACTAACACAATATAGAATATGATGGTGGTGAAAAAATTAAATTATGCACTAATCATGATGGCTAGAATTTCTCATTGATTTTTCGGATTTATTTGATCATTGCGCTATATTTTGGGTTCTAATTCTTGTAACTACAGATTTGCATCTAAAGAAAACAAGTTGTGTGTGTTTAGTTGTTTATGATCAGTAAATCCTAAGCTCCCTTACATCATTTACATGTATTACATTAGTCTATATGCATTAGAAGCCCTAAACCTAAATCATCCTCAATCATATCGATATCATAGCTTGTGGTGGCATCAACAGGTTAACAAAATGTGTGACACTTAACTATCAAAAGATTTAATTGATGATTGTTGGGTTTTCCGGAAGTTTTTATTTTAGTATAATTTATTATTAGATATTTTCTATTTCTAAAATCTAGCATTATTGATATTTCATAATTACTATTGCATTCCTTTATCATGGGGAGTTATGGCTGATTTTATTATTTTCCTACTATGGGAGCTATCTCCCTCTATTTATCTTGTAATCATTTTGCCCAAAATTGAAGAGGAATAATTATTTTCACTCTCCAAAACCTACCTAGTATCATAGCCACGATTCGCCCTTAAAATTGCGTCTAAAACCTTTCGGTCGTCCGTCCAAGAGTTTTGCTTCGCTTTTTTCACCCTGCAATCATTAAGCACTTTACAAGGGCTCAAACGTCCGTTTAAGAGTTTTGTTGGGCTACTCGTGACTTTTCTTTGGTCTCACCTCTCGTTATTTTTGTACTCCGTACGGTTGCTACTGGAACCAAACTCCTCTCCACTTTCTCTGGCATCGATTGCAAGTTCCCTTACACGATTTACATGTATAACATTAGTCTATATGCATTAGAAACCCTAAACCTAAATCATCCTCAATCATATTGTTATCATAGCTTGCGATGGCATCAACAATTTAACAAAATGTGTGGCACTTAACTATCAAAAGATTTAATTGATGATTGTTGGATTTTCAAGAAGTTTTTATTTTAGTATATTTTATTGTTTGATATTTTCTATTTCTAAAATATAGCATTACTAATATTTCATAATTACTATTTCATTCTTTTGTCATAGGGAGTTATGACTGATTTTATTATTTTCCTAATGTGGGAACCATCTGCCTCTATTTATCTTGTAATCATTTTGTCCAAAACTAAAGATGAATAATTATTTTCATACTTCCAAAACCTAACTAGTATAACAGCCACGATTCGCCCTTAAAATTGCATCTAAAACATTTTGGTCATCCGTCCAAGAGTATTGCTTCACTTGGTTCAACACGTGATCATCACGCACTTTGCTAGGGCTCGAACGTCCGTCTAAGACTTTTGTTGGGCCGCTCGTGACTTTCCTTTGGTCTCGTCTCTCGTAATTTTTCAATTCTGCATGGCTACTATTGGAACCAAACTCCTCACTCCTCTCCACTTTCTCTGGCGCCGATTACAAGTTGAATCCATACCAAAATTAGTGTATTTCTTCTCCACTGCAAAGTGTGAGTTGTCTCAACTTCTAAGGATGTCGTAAAAGTCAACAATGATGTTCGGAGTCGAAAAAAATTCTACCTCATTGAACGGCTCCGATAATTCCGAAACCATATCACCTCACCCTACAACTCCTCTCATGGATGTATCGATCGAGTATTATTCCCAGAACTCACCTTATCTCACAATTATAAAACTCAAAGGGAACAACAACCTAGAATGGGCTCAATCCATAAAATTGGCGATCGATGGGAGAGAAAAAATAAGGTATTTAACAGAAGAAAAGTCAAAAAAATTGGCAATCCTAATATGAAAAAATGATAGTACAAAAATTCTCTGATTATATCTTAGCTCATCAACTCTATGAGATCTACCAAAGGAAAGCCACATCTATTCTTTCTCACAGCTCAAAATATCCGGGAGGATGTTCAAGATCTCTATTCAAACTTACGAGAATTCTTCCAAAATTTTTGAATTGAAAACTCAACATTGAAAATCAAAATAAAACAATTGTGTTGTTACCACATATTACAACAAGTTGGTAGCATTATGATAGGAATTTAATCAATGTTATGATGACATTCGGGAGAACTCAAATGGTTATGCTCGCCAAAAGAGAAGAAGAAAATGATCGAGTCTACATGTTCTTAGCCTACTTAATCGGAGTTCAAATGAAGTTCGATGTCGCATCCCAGATAGAAAATTTCTACCCTCTATTTGACATCTTTTTTTTAAGTTAAACGGGAAGAGTCAAGAAGAGAAATTATGTTATAAAACGTTGATTCTTCTTGCAACATTAAATGGGAGGAGAACTGAGTTCTTAAGTCAAATAAGGTCGACACTGACAAAGAAGAGCGTAAAAAAACATGGTATGAGCATTGCAAAAAATCATGGCACATGAAGGAGGCATGTTGGAAACTTCCTAGTAAACCTGCAAACTTAAAATCAAAATTCAAGCATGAAGGTCCAACTTATCAAATCACTGCTGAAGAAACCCAGAAACCTCTATTAACTCGAATGCAATTGTTTTCACCAAGGAGCAATTAGAGCACTTGCACAAAATATTTCAAACTCTAAAATTGTCCGACTTTTTTGCTCCTTAGTACAAATAGGTAAGTCTTTAGTCACTACTTTGTTAGGTATTCTTCCTAATTTTTCTCATTTTTTGGATAATTAATTCAAGTGCAACTAATCACACGGCTGATTGTTATAAATTATTTTCCTCAAATAGATCTTTGTGCAAGCAATAAAAAGGTCAAAATTGTCTATGACTCCTTGATAATTTGTTGAGATAGGAACTGTCAAACTTTTCTTGTTGTTAATCCGTCGCGATGTTCTTCATATTCCTAATCTATCATTTAACTTGTTGTCCATTAGTAAAATTATTAGTGATCATCAATGTCAAGCTAACTTTTATTCTTTTAGTTGTGGGTATTAGGAATTGATCACGAAGATGATGATTGAAAATGCTAAGGAAAAATACAGACTATACCATTTTGAAGATGGACACGACTTGAATAGACAATGTTAAAATAATGGTTTAAATTATATTTTTATTTCTAAAGACAATAAAATTATGTTATGACATTATAGATTAGGTCATCTTACTTTTAAGCATCTAAAATACTTATTTCACAATAAAAAATTATCCTTATTTCAATGTGAAGTTTGACGGTTTGCTAAACATCATCGTCCATATTTTTCTTTACAAATATACAAACCAACTCTGATTTATAGCGATATCAGAGGTCCTTGCAAAAAACTTCCAAATTTTGGCAAAAAACGATTTGTGACTTTCATTGATGTTCACACTAGATCAAGTTAAGTTTATTTAACAAAAAAAATTTGAAGTGAAAATAATTTCACAAAACTTTTATAAGATTAGGATTTAGGATTTAGGGTTTAGGGTCAATTTTACACCATACAACATAATACAAACACAATTTCAAAAAATCATTGAATTATTTTAAAGAGAAAATAGTCGAGAGTGTATCAAAAATACTTTAGGTCTTTTTTTTTTTTGAAAAATGAATTTCATCAAAGCTCTTATATTGACACTCTGCAAAAAATGACATGGTTGAAAGAAAATAAACACGTACCAATCAGGTGCTTAAATATCTTCGAGGTGAAGCCATTCTTACTGATACATTTGTCATAAATAGAACACCCAAAAAAATTTTAAAATTTTAAACATCTTTTGAAGTTTTTCAAAGAAAAAATTTCAAATAATCAACTCTCATCTTCTTTACATCTAAAGATATTTAGAAATACTATTTTTGTTCACATTCCTTGTCAAAAAAAACTTGAACTCAAAACCCAAAATGTGTGTTTTTTCGTGATGCTCTTAACCAAAAGGAGTACAAATACATTGTTCTCAATTCTACAAAAATGTTTGTTATCATGGATGTCACATTTTTTGAATTACAACTTTTTTACCTTATCTTCAAGGGGGGAACAAAACAAAAATTTATCTACTGAGTTTCAGAATTTTCTTCAAACCGAAAACTCCTAAAATAATATATCCACAATCTTAATTGTTCAACCTAAAAAATCAAACGATATTATATCAAGAGAAACTGTGTCGAGTCTTTTAGACATTGAAATTTCTAAAATGTCCTCTCATGTATTCATAACAAAGAAGTCAACTGTATGACATTGTCTACTAGTCGCAGAACACAACTAAAAAAAATGGTCTACAAGTCCTTTGCACTACCTAGAATCCACGAACCCAGGTAATAACCTCACTAATCCTTTATACAATGTTCAATACACTTCATCTTCGAGTTTTGAGTCATCTAGTCCTAAATCTAGGCCTAGTTCGAATCCTGAGTCAAAAAAGTCTAACATTTGCATATATAGCTTCGCATATAGAGAGGTATAGATACATAGATATATTAATTCAAATTTAACTATGCAAACAAGTACATATATGTACATGAATTCAAACATACATTTATATATATTTAGATTAAAGCTTGGCTAACTTTATTCAATACAAGCTAAATTAAGCTTCTATTATTAATTAGCTCACTAACTTCAATCCATTTAGCTCAATCTGAGTCAAAACCCAAAATGAATTCAAAAAAAATTTTATTTTTCAGGTAAAATGCTTAGCCCAACTTGTTAAGCCTGATCAGTATTAAAAATGGTCCATATCAAGTCAGCCAACTCAAATTCAACAGACCTGTAAACCATTAATTTATCAATTTATTCAAGTGGCGAATGAGGATTATATTAAATTTGATGCATATATTAATCAAAATTATAGTTTAAATCCATGGATAAAAGCAAAGATCCATTCCACGAGAGTAAGCGTGGAAAAAGATAATTCCATAGTTTTCATATATTACTATGGGTCAAGCCAATAAAAGCATAAAAGATAATATAAACTTTTCATTTTTTTAGTGTAAGCTTGCTTTAGTGCGGCTTCTTATTACATAAATTTAAAATCATAAGCCCTAAAGTTATAAGAAAAAAAGGCATATCGCATAAAGGACCATTGGGCTTAGAAGAACATATATATCTAGAAATGACAACACAACAAATGATTAAGCGCATCATCAACATTAAACCTTCTGTGATATTCAGACAACCAAGCCCATGTTGACAGCATAGTGTGTGGTGTGCCAATTGTGTGTTCAGTGATGAAGCATAGCATACATAAAAATATATATCTAGAAAGAACAACACAAGAAATGATTAAGTGCAACATCAACATTATACCTTTTGTGATATTCGGACAACCACGCGCATGTTGACAAAATACTGTGTGGTGTGCCATTTGTGTGTTATGCCATAAAGCATTGCGTACACAGCACTTTATTCTAGTGGTTTAATTTTTTTACTGAATTTTTTATCCTTTAGGCTTGAGTAACATTGCAAGAGCTGCTATTTTGGTGAATGAAAGCATCAAAACATTTGATATTCATCTAATGAGAAAGAAAAGGAATCTTGCTCAAAGCCCTTTTTAATTGTAGATGACTTGAAAATGTTAAGAGTGATGAATTAGAGTATGTCTTAGGAATTAATAATGATGGAGTTAGGTTATTTTAGTTTATGATGATCATATTTCTTAGTGTGGCTCGTTCAAAACAAAGTGTTTATTTTGATTTAAGCATCTAACCTCAAAATGTTTGCCTTTAATCCTGATATAATGCATCGCTAGCACCTTACATCAACCTTTACATACCATGTTTTATAATGTGGGTGGCGCAACCTTTTTTTTTCTTCTAAGATATTTTATCTTAAATTCTTGAATTACTAATAAACAATTCACGTTTTCATGAATTGTGGTATGTTTAAAATAGCATGTGCCACACTATACACAATGCAACGCTCCAAGGCACTCGTAGACTGTAATGGGCTATTCATTGCTGACAAGCATGATCATCAATTAAAAGGTAAAAGCAATTGCTTCAAAGCATGCCCAATAAGGAGAACAAGTAATAAACAAGGCAGCTCAACAGAATAAAAAGGAAAATGAAATGTGACAAACAAAATCTATTAAGGATAGGATTCACCCAAAAGAATGGCAAAGAAAAAAACAAAAAACTACACCCCTATAGCTGTGATGGGATGATAATGATTATTAACAAGAACCTAAACAGCAGATATTTTGTGATATAAGAAAGGGAATTGGTGTATGTGTTGATAGCATTATAGTGGAAGAGTGGGGTTGAATAAACCTTATTCAGGAAAAGTATAAGCATTGGACAATTCTTCTTGAACTTTTTATAAAACAAAAATAAAATCTACCCGAGATAAGTTAAAGATAAAAATAAAAGGCCAAAAACCTCAATTTGGAAAAGAAATATTAATGTAAGAACTTAGCAGAAAAACTCATACTTCTCCTAAAACCAAAGAAATATTAACATAAAAACATAGCAGAATAACTCATACTTTTCCTAAAACTGGTGCCATTCCCATGATAACTGACGCCAAAGCTGAGCGAACGTGTTGGGATGAATCTGATGACAATTCCTGAATTTATAACATTATAAAACATTTGAACAATCAAGAAAAATGAAACTTGATCACAGAAAGTCATAGGATAATGAACTGGACAGAATCAAAAATAAAAGCAAAATAACATGAATGACATAAAATGGAATGGATACCTTGACACAAGTAAGAATGTGTTGGATGGCTAGCTCAGGACCCAAAATCTGGCAAAACTTTGTTACTTTGCCAGCAGCTGCTATGCGAACTTCAGCCTCGTTATCACGGAGAAGTCTAACATAAGCTGGAACTAAATCCGACCTAGCACAAATAATAAGTTTAAATCAACTGACTTAACTCCTAAGAGTTATACAAATGCAAAAAATTCAGTACATAACGCGGCAGGAGCTGAAATTATTATGTTTTAATTGGGTGTCATACTTATAATTAAGTCCTTTTTCTTAGTTTTCAGTTTTAATGAGGACTTGCCAACATAAAGTTGTCCTGTAGGTCAAAACGGGATGGAGAGTTTTTGATTGGTTGTAATCTTTCCCATATCAGTCAAGGTTAAGGAATGCATTCAGTACTTTAGAGTGGCGCTCATGTGGTGATCAGTCATCTTTCTTTTCAGTTAATGTATTATTTCTCTTCCTTGGAATTTTCGGTCCAGCATACCTGCTTTTCTGGAATTTTCCAAACTGTATAATTCAATTTTTCCTTGTTATGGTATCATCTTGGTATCAAAGCACTGTTCTTGCACAGCTTTTCTCTTCCTTATTCGAGTTCTTGCGCATTTCATCCTTTTTTTTTCTTTCCATTTATTTTTGAATTCTCCTTTCTCTAGAATTCTATTTAGATCTTTCCTGCTTTCTAGATTTCGGTGGCTGCAAGAACTGTTTTGCATTCTCGTGGTTTTGCAGTTCCAAGTTTCCTGCTTTCTAGTTTTCTATTTTTATCAACAGGTTCTCGTGGGTTTTGTAATCAAGAATCCCAGAATTTGATGCTTGAGGTTTCAGTTGTCAAGGACTTCCTTTCTTTTCCAGTGTAGCCATTTTTTGTCTCTTTTCCAGTGACTGAAAGCAATTGAAGTTGCCACCAAAGAAGAATAATGTCCATCCAGCCCAAGATTTGGTTGTCGAAAAATTGCAACAAGAAATTCGCATCTAAAAACAAGATGCTTCTTGAACAACAATTCAGAAGAACGTTAAAATGAATCCGAAAATGAGATGATAGACAAGGAAGAAAATAACACATTCAATCAAGAGGCATCTAGTGGTGTCATAGAGGTGCTAGTGAGTCAAGTTGACTCGTGAAGCGGCTCAAGCTTGACTCGACTCATTAGCTCGTGAGCCGGCTAACATAAAATATACTCAAAATCTATTAAATTTCAAAATATTATCATTAAGGTATTAAGAATGTTAATAAAAATTATTTTTATTGCATATTAGTTAATTTCATAATATTTATCTCCTAATATTCCATTCTATTTGTCAACTTATTATAAAGTTATTTAAAATTAATATCATTTTCTCTCTTTTGTATTAAGCAAACTGGCTTGAACTTGTAGACTTAAGCTCGAGCTCGAAAAAATTAACCAAGCTCAAGTTGAGGGTGGCTTGAGCTCGACTCAACTCATTTACACCCCTAAGTGGTGATGAACTTATACGTAGGTTGAGGCATGAAAATCTATGAAAACCTCCATATTTCAGAATCAAAATCGACCTTCCTGATATTGATGGAAAGTTGAATCTCGATCGGTTCGTCAGTTAGCTACATACAGTTGAACGAATTATGGAATTCAAGAAGCTATCCCAAGAACATATCGTCAAACTAGTGGTGACCATATTGAAGAAAAATGCCACACTTTGGTGGGAAAACTTGAAGAGGATTTGACAAAGAGATGGAAGATCCAAGATCACCTCTTGGACGAAAATGAAGAAACGCAACGAAAATTCTTACCTGAGCATTACTGACAAGAAGTCTTCATCAGGCTTCATACCATTTATCAACAAGAATTATCCATGGAGTAATATTTCACTGAATTCAATTAGTTGGTGCTAAAGTTCAACCTTTTTGAACCCGAAGAGCACGCTATTGCACGTTTTTTTGGGAGGTCTAGGACCATCTATCGTTGATGTGGTTCAACTCCAACAGTTATGGACATTATAGGACTTGATTAACTTGGATGTGAAGATTAAAAAGATGCAACAATTACACCCCAATAAGCATTACTACCAATGGTTTGGGCAGTTCCAACAAATCAGTCTAATTCCAGGCACAGGTCGGTGGTCAAAAAGTAGAAAACAGCAGCAAAGCTGCTTTCCAGCCTCAAGGGACTACTACCACATCGAGGGAAGGAACTACATCTGATATACGATTGCTTCAAACGTCATGGGTTCGACCACATAGCCTCAAATTGTCCTAACCGACGTATTATTTCATTGGTGGAGGAGATTGATCTAGACGAAAATGATGTGGTAGAAAAAGAAGATACTAATTCAATGAGGGACCAAATCATACGTGCAGATGAAGAGGAATTACTTGTGATAAGAAGTCTCCTAAGTGTCAAACAACCTTCCAATAAATATTAGTTACAGCAAAACAACCTTTGAACCCGGTGCCCAATTCAGAACAAGGTTTGTAACCTATCATTCACGATGGAAGTTTTGAAAACGTGATTGTGACAATCATGGAGGAGAAACTTGGGCTAACTAATCAACCTCATACCCATCCCTAACAACCCATACGGCTCAAGAAGGGGGACTAAAATTAAAATTACTCGGCATTGCATGGTGTTATTTTCCATCAGTCGGAAACTGCAAGAGCAGGTTTTATGTGATGTAATTCCTATGGGCGCTTGTCACATATTACTTGGTCAATCTTGGCAATATGATCAATGTACAACTCATGATGGGTATGTTAACACTTATTTCTTTATCAAAGAGATAATTCAAATCATTTTTGTGCCTATGAAGGAAGGGATTCAAGCGGGAACTGAAATCAACAATTTTCTCCACTATTTTTGAAAGATCTTAAGAAGACGGCTATGGGGGTAGCTCTTGATCGCAACTGAGAGTTTCGAAAAGTTGTCGGCAACTCCTGAAGTGCAAGGCTTTATACAACATTTCGAAGATATATTTCTGACAAATTCCTACAAGATTGCCTCCTATGAGAGGTACAACATGTCATTTGTACCATGTGTCTGGTTCGGTCATCCTCAACAAACCTGCATATAAAATGTCAGCGGATAAGGAGCACAAAAGCTTAAGCGCTAAGTGAATGAGTTGATCCATAAAGACTTAGTGCGACTTAGTGCTAGCCCGTGCACGGTTCCGACTCTCTTGGTTTCAAAGAAGTTTGGGACATGGCACATGTGCATTGAAACTCGGTTTGCAAATAAAATCATTATCAAATATAGGTTCTCATTTCTCAATTGGATAATCTTTTTAGTCAACAAAAAAGAGCGGCTATTTTCTCCAAAACAGATCTTCAGAGTGTATGTGACATAGGGATAAGTGGAAAACAATGTTCAAGACAAAAGATGGGCTTTACGAATGGATGGTGATGACGTTAGAGCTTCCTAACGCTCCAAGCATATTTATGCACCTCATGAATCAAGTTTTTCAAACTTTTATAAGAACGTTTGTGGTGATTTACTTCGACGCTATTTCATTTATAGCTCTCACAATTCTGAAAATTTGCGATATAGTTTAGCTTCCCACCCACAAACCAATCAAAAAATGGAAGCTGCTAACAAAAGGCTTTGAAATCTGCATAATTGCTATGTGGGAAAGAATCTTGCACAATGGAATCTTCATCCATCACAAGTGAGGTATGCCTATAATTGGTCCCGCAGTCAAACTTCCAAATACAGCCCTTTGAGATGGTTTATGGGAGAAATCCAATATCTACACTTGATCTCAAGTTAGATTTTTCCATTAAGGTAGTGACCCGGATATTGAGGTTAGACTACAAAAAATCCAAAAAATACATAAATTAATTCATGAGAATATCGTTACACAAAATGAAGCATATCGATGACAAACAAACAAGAGTAAAAGGGCAGCCACTTTCAAAGAAGGAGACAATATGAATTTGACTAAGGAAAAAGCATTTTCCTCCATAAAGGAATGAGAAGCTCAAGGCCAAAGTCGATAGCCCTTTACAAATAGTGAAGCGTATTAATGACAATGCTTATCAAATTGATCTCCCCGGTTCTACTAGATTAAATGTCGCCGAATTGACTCCACATTACGAAACTAATTCTGAAACTGCTTCTCATGAAGAATCCCTACTAACACCAGATGATGCGGGAGCTGAAATTCTTCGGTTTTTAGCAGGGGATCGTACTTTTAAGTCTTTTTTCTCATTTTTTTTACTTTTGTTGAGTGCTTGCCTATATAAGGCTTCCTATTATGTTACAAGGGGATAGAGAGTTTTTGTTTAGTTGTAATAACATTTCACATATCTTTCTGGGTTAAGAAGTGTATTCAGTATCTTAGAGTGGCGCCCAAGTGGTGATCAGCCACCTTTCTTTTCAGTTAATGCATTATTTCTCTTCCTTGGAATTTTTGATCAAACTTTCTTCCGTTTTCAGAATTTTTGAAACTGCAAATTTTAGCTTTGCATTGCTAAAGTATCACACAACCTATCCTCTCTAATTCATTACACGATAAGTTGAAAATCCAATAAACAGCATAGATTTAAGCTTTGCCAACAATTTATACAGCAGAAAAGTATAAGAAGTAGACAAAAAAAAAGGTATCATATGAAAACTAGTAAAATTTCAAAAGATGAATAAAAATATATATGCCTTAGTAGTGCTATATTAACATTTTATGCATTGAGATATTCAAATCAATTTTCTAAGGGGGTTTTACATACATTACAGTTAAAACCATCATCTTAACGCATTTAACACCTAAAATTTTCTATTTACTCTCATAACACTCAATTCTTTAAATAGCAAAAAAATATACTATCTCCCTCACCCTCTCCGTTAACTTCCCATCACAATGAGTCACGACAAACTCCTCTTCTTCTTCACACACGCCACTGGTACTATTAATGCCCTTCCACTAGAGAGATTCTATCATGACTTTCTCACCTCTTCTTTGTCAATGAGGGCTTCACAATTTTGAGGAGTAAGCAGACACATGGTATGAAGATGTTAAACATGCAAATAAAATAGTTTCAAGTGTTATATATGTAGACGTCCCATTTTCAAAATTTAGAAGACTTCATCAACAAAATTAAAAATGTTTACTTAAAAATACAAAAAGAATAATAAATATGAAAAAATAAAAAAACTAATGAAAAAAATCCATACCATAAACCATATTAGATATTATGAGAATCGAATTGTACAAAAGAGGCACGAGAAAAGTAATGCAACCCACCTTATCTTATTAGTTGAGAGCTTAGGCTAACAGCTAAGAGATCTTGGGTTCAAAAGCTTGCATACAAGGTATGTATGAGTTTGAATTAAATTTGCTCAAAATCTCAATAAAAAGGTATGAGAGAATTTATTAGGGAGTATAACACGTAAAATCATATATTTGTAAAATACGTGTTGTCTTAATACAAAATCTAAGAGAATTTAAAAAAAAAATTTAAATTAAATGAACTGGTTCCTCAGAGTTGCTGTAGCACCAAGTGCATGTCTTTAGGTAAGTGAAGCCACCACCTGTCTACATAAACTTGAGTCAAGTTCATTAAAATAACAATATCTCAAAATATTCTCCCACGTATGTGACCAAAATAATTTTAATAAGCAAAACAACAACTTACACATGCAATGTATTTCTCTAACATATAATATTTGCCAAACACTACCTGGTAGTTTCTGGACCAACAGCTTCACTAAGTTCATACAACTGATTAGCAACCATATAGCGAACGCGCCATGATTTATCCTGATCAAAAATCAAAAAAGACACATTGATGAAACAAATAGTCACACAAAGTAATTAAATATTTATTAGACTTTGTTAGACATTGTAATTAAACAATTTTGAACAATTTTTTTTCTCATTAATGCATAAAAAAAATCATAAGTGAAACATAATAGACAAACCTGAGAGAAGTTAATAATTACTGGAAGAATGTGAGATACACACTCCTGGGGTTCCAACAGTTTTCCAAGCGCTGCGCATCCTTCCACAGCCAACAGACGTACAGAGTCTTGATCTAAATGGAAAATGACAAGAATACATTAGTAATAAGGTGCATATAACAAACTAACAAGAAAAATTTCAAAGAGAAGCTATCAGACAAACGTCAGAAAAAAAAATATAAAGCAAGAAAATGATTTGTTGATATGTAAAGCTGGCAGCCTGGCAATAGAATCAAAGAAACTAAAAATCATTATAAAAAAAAAGAAGCAACCCAAACTCCAACAGAAATAAGAAAAATAGTAGAACAGATTTAAAGGATCTAGCTTGAAAAAATAATCTTCAAGAGGTGAACCAATGTAGTCAATGGCACATACAAATAATAACGAGATTTTTCTCAGGAGAAATGATTTCCTAATAATAGCCACTAACTTTAACATTTGGCGCATTCAATGAATTGTTTGAAAAGTTTCAAACTGGTCTGGGGCTTGAAAAGGAATTTAAATGTGAAAAATCACCTTTAACATTAAATTATTCAGATTAGATATGGAAGATATGAACATGATTAATAGTAGTTTTTCCCCCCACTAAAGGAATGCTTTATTTCCTGACAAGCTCTGATAAAAGGTCAATACAAGCTTAAACTAGTGTCCTACTCTAGTACTTCACTTACATTACAAGCTAACAAAAACGGCAATCAATGCTTCAAGAAAAAAAAATCACAAAACAAATAATAATTTTATTTAGATAAAGAATGTTCTGGATTCTTTAGCGAACAACATACTTGGGTACTTCATTTTCTAAAAAGTTGCATATAGCTGTCCATTTAACAAAATCAGTTGTTTGTAACTACTAAAATATTCATGATCGGAATCCGATCAAATGATAGCACAAACCAAAATAATTTTTGCAGTCCTATTGCATCATTAGTCTTGAATCAGCCATTCATGGTGACCAGAGATAATGGAGTATTTATTGACCAACGAGGTAGGATGAGTTGTATGGTCTTCACATGCTAGGGAAGGGCGGTGAGTGAAGGTCGGATAGGGGTAGGATGGTAAGGAGATGCCAATGATACTGGAATTAGGTGGTTTCGAAGTACAATATTTAGTAGGAAAGTATAAAATGACCAAAATTTGTCAATTAATGGACAAAAACAGAACATTGTGTACTAAATTGAATCATTATAATAATATTTAAAGGTTCTACAGTGTGAAACTGAACAAGACTTTTGAGAAAAAAAAGGACCACAATGTGACACACTGAAAAATGAGGGGCCAAATTAGCTTTTGTAATTCATTGTTTAAGACTAACAAGCGTTTATTTAGCACTTCAATTTTCTTTTGAACCTCATAAGTTTTAACAGTAAGGTACAAACTACACTTTTGTTTAGAAAACTGTCAACTCAAATGCGAAAAGACAATCTAGTGGTTGAAATAATATACCATCTTGAGTAAGATCCTCAAACATAGACATTACATCTGTCTTCAAGTGGCTTTGTTCAACAGTACTTGCAAATTTTCCCAAGTTGGATGCTGCAGATCTTCTCACCATAGGCATGTCATCTTGACAAAGCTGACCATATATGGATCTCAGTTCAGCTTTCAGCATATCAGGGGAACTTGGATAGGCAATATGAAACAAGCCACAAGAGGAAACTCGAGCTGTAAACCATTCACCAGCTGCTAATCTCTGACATTGGCAACATGGTCAAAACAAATAAGTTAGGTTCAAAACACAGAAATTTATTGTATAAATCAGTAGTACTAACAAAGAGGGGAGAGTGAGTAAATTAAAAAATAAGGAAATAATAGAACAAGAAAATGTCAGGTGACACTACATAAATTAGGATTAAAAAAACATGACTACATGCAGTGGTGCATTTGGGAGGGGGGCCAGAGGGGGCACGGGCCCTCTACAATTTTTTTGCAAATTCTGCAGCCTATGTTTTCCACCTTCCATGCTTTTCTTTCCTGACCACATTTTTCTTTAGAAAAATTCTCATTTAAAATCCCTCAAAATATTATATCTTTACAAGCCATTCTAAAAGGCTTCAACATCATGAGTTCATTTGAAATTGGTGAAATGTTATATTTAAATAACGGTAGAAAAATTCCCTCACCAATGTGAGACAAAAACAATAAAAGAAAAACTTGAAATTATTTTTTCTTAGTTTCCATGGAGCTTCAGCAACTCGAACAGTGGAATTTGATTTTTTTTTTAGCATTTTTAAACATACCAGCCAAGTCCTATATGTTTACATACCTAAGACATAAAATTTACTTCAGATTTATACCACGCAAATCTTTAATATCTCATAAAAAAATACCACCATTTTAACTTTTAAAAAAATGAAATACACCTTTTTCATGCATAGGTAAGATGGCATGCATATTAAAATTGAACTTTAGGTGTTAGATATGTAAATACATGGGAATTGAGTGGTATGTATGTAAATATTCTTTTCTTTATTTGGTTTTGTTCAGTTAGTTTTTAAATAGTTTTTAGTTAAAAATATTAAAAAAATAATTAAATTTTAAAATAGATTTTAATTTATACTTTTTATATTAATATTATAAGATTTTTTAAGATAAGAATGTAAAATTAATTGAATACCTTAACAAGCATTAATTGAGTACATAAATCAATATCAAATGAACTCTAACTGAGCGGAATGACAGGTTGCTTGTTGAAAGCTCAATTCATTTGCTGCCCTAATTCTTAGCTCGAGAACCGGTAGAAGTCCATATCGGTATTAAACATGGCCATAATTTTGCTTTGATAGACGCATATTGGTCAAAATATTTTTATAACTATTAAAGTTTATATATTCATAAATTTTTTCAGGTATATTAGCAAATTTCATTTTTTTTTTCCCTGCGTTACTTGAACAAACAGAAAATAGGGTAAGATTAAATTTAATTTGCTCAATGTAATTTCAAAAAATGAAAAAAAAAATTATACATACAATATATTTTTTACTTTTTTACATATCTAACACTCAAAGATTGATATTTACATTTATAACGCTATGTTATTATAAACTTATACAAAAAAATGTGTATTTAACTTTTAAAAAGCTAGTAATAGTTTTTTTTTTATGTGAAGTTAAACATGAGAGAGATATGCACGAAAATATGAAGGCTTAGGTGTTAGATATATAAAAATATAAGAACTGTGTGGTATGTATGTGAATGTGTAATAAAAAGAGAAACCCCCAGCCTTAAAGGTGAAATGCTTAATATCAATCTCAACGAGGAGTTCATTAACCTAAAGTGATTAAATTAAATTAAATAAACAAAGTCAACGTACTAATTTATTTTTCAAAAGCAATTTGATTGTGGTGCAATTGAATATTGTACTTCTTTAAATGCTTCAGCTAAATTTGTCATTGTCAATCCCAAGTTTAGATGAAAAATATTGAGGAAATTTTTGAAAAAGTTAATTTGTACCCCCCGCTTTGAAAATTTTCTGGTTATGCCACTGACTATATGTAAACATTATCAAATAAGCATAAAAAAACACTTACATTTCTATATAACCAATGTAACAATAATTGCTTCAATTTCACATACATACTGTTGCATGTAGGTCATAAGAGACAGAAGATAACCATAAATCATTAAGAATCATATAATTTTACTAACTGTGAACAAAAAGAGCTTTCGATCCGGAAAGACAAGAAAATAAGGCATAAACTTTAAAATATGGCAAATCAATAATTTATCAAAGTTCAAAGAATCAATAGCTTTAAATTCTGTTCATTAAAAGCATCAATATATAGCTATTTCACATTCAATATGTATCGACTATTAGACTTGTGCATGAAATAAACTCACTAATCTTAGAAAATCTTTGGGTTAATATAAAAATCTTGAATTCCAATAATTGTAAAATTATCAAAATGAAATAAGAATTCAGGTATTTGAATCAGTAGTAGGTTTCTTCTATAGATTCCATGGTCAACAGTCATAGTTTCTCACTATAAAAGATTATAATTCCGATCAAAAATTGGAGTTAAAGCATACAGCCAAAAAAAACAAAAAATATAGGAGAACGATAGCCAATGTAACAAAACAACAGGAATAAGTAAACTTCTCACCTTTACCAAAGGAACAAACCAATCCACTATATCACTTTCCTTCATCTGTGATCCAATTCTACACAAGGACTCAACAGCTTTATCTCTGACACAAGTTTCCTCTACAGTACACAAAGTCTCCAAAGGCGGGAGCAAGACATGAGCATATTCCACACCTCCAACATAAGGAATGAATACACCCAGTTCCTCCGCCATTGCAAGAAGAACTTCATCATCATCGTCATTGTTATCGCTGAGAAAAGGAATCAACTCCTTCCGAGTTCTTTCTTCACCAAGTGCCCTTGCTATAGTAGAAAGCCTACGGATGGAGTTCAACCTCAGCTGAATATCTTCATTTTTAAGTTCATCAATTAGAATAGCAATCGGATACAGTGGCTCATCAAGCATAGCCATTAGCCTTCACAAATCGCTCAAAGCTGCAAGACATGAAGGAAAGATAATTAAACTTTAGAATTTATACTGATAATTTAAGAATTACTAAATTAGGGCATAGATAAAGTGATAAGATTACGGAAAGGCAATATCATAATGTAAAACTAGAGAAACCACAGCATTCTTTATCAAGGATATCAACTACAAGAAAAAAGAGCATTTAATGGGTCTAGAACCTCTGACAGATAAGAAACTGAGGATCTATCGTGATAAACATTCAATTCTTAGGTATTTCATAGTCTCACACCACCCAATTTGTTTATATCATGTTATATAGAAACAAACAAAGTCAGGTTTTGCTTCTTGCTTTTAAAAAGAATTCCACAAGTGAAAATAATAAGAGGCAGTTGCTTTCTCAAGGTATTAATTAAATTTCCAGACAAAACAAACGTAGGCTGATTTTTTTAAACCTAAAGTAAAATATTTTGAGTTACATATCAGAAAGCGAAAAGAAAAGCTCAAAAAAGCATCACATTATGTGAAGCTCACAAAACAAGTATGAGAACCATGCAGCCCTATGCTCATCTTAATTGTTCCACATAAAGCCTCTATAAAGTGCAAAACACTCTCCAAAGAGGAGGGAAGGACTGAGTAACAGAATGATCATAAGGAGCTAGATGGCATCTTCACATGTATTAATCGTGAAATTCTTAAAACATTCAAGTTAAGAGGACCAATATGACATGTAATGTTGTCAAAGGAACAATTTGGTCATGTCCCATTATTGTTTTTTTTTTTACCATAAAAAAATTCTTAACTTTTTTATGAAATAATATAAAAGAAAAATAATTTTCTTTCCCAGTATTGGATCGAGGGATGTGAAATTAATTGTAGCTATCAAATTATGAACAATGAAAGAGGAAAAGACAGTAATAAAATACATGGATATTGTCTTTGTGATGTTGCTTGAGTTCGTTTTTTGCAACAATCGGTTGTCAATATAAGCAAACCGCCCACTAAGACCACTACTGCTACCTCCTTTATCTTGAACTTCGACATTTTTTATTTCAGCTACTCGAGTTACTCATTTTCATGAATTTGGCATTGGTTAACTATCTGTTTCATTCCTAGAATAGGCGCTCAACCTCAATATCTATCTGATCAACTAATTGACTTAAAATTATGATGTTTGCTTGTTATGCCATTTAAGGTATAAAGTTGGCATTAGTTTTGATGTATTCTTTTGTATATAATGCATAATTATGAATGCTTCTTACCTAGGAAAGAAGTAGTTTAATATTCTCCTTTAATAGGGTACTTCAATTTTACCCTTCTTTCCCAACTCCAAACCCCAGTTTAATCTTGATGAAATAAGGTAGGATTTTAATGATTTAAGGACTTAAAACCTACATTATCCACTTTATGTTTAATAAAAGCAATTGAGAATTTTCTACCGACATGCTGTATCTTACTTTCCCTTTCCTAAGCAACAATTTTGAAGTAATCCTTGTGACCCTCGTGGATCTATAGAAACCCTTGTAATTGTCACTATGTTATATGCATCATGAAAAGAGAATTTTAACAAAATAAATCGAACTTCGTGATGCAAATAGTAATGAGAATTGAAATATGAACCAGATTTAGAAGAATTTTTTCAATAATATATTGACTATTCAAAGAACTTAATGTTGACAGCAGTGACATGGCTAGATTAGACTTTGTGAAAGTTGTGCATATAGATTTATTTATCCAATTTTTCACAAGTACAACAACAACAAAGCCTTAATCCCACTAAGTGTGGTCGGCTACATGAATCCTTTTTCTCCATTGCCCATTGAATCCTTTTTCTCCATTGCATCCTATTTAGTATCATATTTTCATTTATTTCTAATAAATTAAAATCATTTTTTATACAATAAGCCCGAGTCATCCTAGGTTTACTTTTGCATTTCTTAACATAAGTCGAATCTGAAACATCTACTCTCCAAATCATCAGATGATCGACATTATTTAAAAATACAAAAAAGAAACATACAATTGGAAATTATTTCTTCATTCATAATGATGCAAAAGTATAGCAAGACATATTTTAGCAAAATATAATTCTGCATAAACTACAAATGAAATTCAAGAAATCACAGTTGGGTAATCCATTTCATCACTTTTGAGCACATTGGTTATGAACTTACGACAGCATATCTTAGTGAAAATAACTACATTGTTATATAAAAGTATATTTATTACTGATGACACACAAATGATAACCCTAAACCCTAAGCAATGATAACCATCAATATACCTAACCACAGCCTGAATAGCAAAGACATCATTCAAAATGCCACATGAAAAGAATACAACAAAAAAGAAAGGATACTTAAAAATATTTTACAACTTCAAAGGTATTCTTTTCTGTCACCCATATGATTGCAAGAGACGCATCTCATTTATCTATCGGTTTTAGAGACTTATTTTTAGCTCTGAATTGGACAGCAACGCATTTCCCAACTTGGAAAAGTCAAACCAAAAATTGAATCATTCAAAACACTCTCTATAAATGCATTAACCTTCTTAATCAGCACTACACAACATTATTTCAAACAAATCATATTACCATTTAGAAAAATATTAGCAGCAGGTGAAAAATGTTTCCATCAGAAATTGTAACACCCAAAAATAGCAAATTAGCCTTTTCTTGATTGTACGTTTCAACTCCATTGAGTTTAAAATGGTCAATTGCTAAGCATTGGATGAAGAGAACTCCAGATTCAAATATATCATGTACAAAAAAAATATTATTCTAGCACAAAAGCTGCCTAAAGAAGGGAAAACGCTTAAAAGAAAATACTACCACAATAACAACAACAACAACAACAAAGCCTTAATCCCACTATGTGGGGTCGGCTACATGAATCCTTTTTCTCCATTGCGTCCTATTTAGTGTCATAATTCCACCTTCCTTAACATAAGTCGAATCTAAAACATCTATTCTCCTAATCAAATCATCAAATGATCGACGTTTAATGTGACCAAACCATCTAAGACGACTTTCTCTAATTTTTTCCGTCACTGGAGCAACACCAACCCTATGACGGATATATTCATTTTGCATTTGTCTCTAAGTGTAAAGCCACTCATCCGCCTAATCATTCTCATCTCGGCAACACTTAATTTAATATTATGCTTCTCTTTTAAAGGCAAACATTCAGCGCCATAGAGCATTGCAGGTCACACCACCGTCTTATAGAATTTTCCTTTCAGTCTAAGTGGTACTTTTCTATCACACAAAAGGCCCGAAGCATTCCACCACTTCAACCAACCAACTTGAAATCTACTATTAACATCCCCATCTATATCACCATCGCTTTGAACAACAGACCCGAGATATCTAAATCGTTCACACCTTTTAACAATTTGATCACCCAAAGTTAAACTTTTGTCGATAGAGCTACTACTACTAAAATTACATTCCATGTATTCAGTTTTAGTTCAACTCAAATGAAGGCCTTTAGACTCCAATATAGACCTCCATAACTCAATACGACTTTAGTGTCATATTTCCGCCTTTCTTAACATATGTCAAATCTAAAACGTCCATTCTCATAATCGAATCATCAGATGGTTGATGTTTAATGTGACCAAATCATCTAAGACAACTTCCTCTAATTTTTTCCGTCACTGGAGCTACACCAACCCTATGACGGATATATTCATTTTGCATTTTGTCTCTAAGTGTAAAGCCACTCATCCACCTAATCATTCTCATCTCGGCAACACTTAACTTAATATTATGCTTCTCTTCTAAAGGCAAACATTCAGCACCATAGAGCATTGCAAGTCTCACCACAATCTTATAAAATTTTCCTTTCAGTTTAAGCGGTATTTTTCTATCACACAAAAGGCCCGAAGCATTCCTCCACATCAACCAACCAACTTGAATTCTACTATTAACATCCCCATCTATATCATCATCGCTTTGAACAACATACCCGAGATATCTAAATCGTTCACACCTTTTAGCAATTTGATCGCCCAAAGTTAAACTTTTGTAGCTAGAGCTACTACTACTAAAATTACATTCCATGTATTCAGTTTTATTTCAACTCAAATGAAGGCCTTTAGACTCTAATATAGACCTCCATAACTCAAGTTTTTTCTGGGCATTTTCTCTGATCTTATCCACGAGAAGGATATCATTAGCAAAAATCATACACCAAGGTACATCTTCATGTAAATGTCCCGTAAAACCATCCAAACTAAAGCAAAAAGAAATATATGGGCTTAAAGACGATCCCTAATGTAATCCAACTAAAATAGGAAAATATTTGGTCAATCTTCCTTCAGTCTTCCTTCAGTTCATTTGGTCAATCTTCCTTCAGTTCGAACACAAGTAACAGCTCTAGTGTACATATCTTTAATGACTTGAATATAAGTCATATCAACAAGAACTCTCCAATGAACTCTCCAATGGATATCTCTTGGAACCTTATCATAAGCTTTTTCTAAATAAATAAAAATCAAATGTATATCCTCATTATCACTTAACTTTTCCATCAAATCTCTCAATAAATGTACAGCTTCCATGATAGATCTACCCGGCATAAATCCAAATTGATTATGAGAAATCTTTGTAATACATCTTAACCTATGATCAATTACCCTTTCCCATAATTTTAAAGTATGACACATCAACTTAATTCCTCTATAAATCCCACACTTTTGTGCGTCCCATTTATTTTTAAAAATGAGGACCAAAATACTCTTCCTCCACTCCTCAAGCATCTTTTTAGTTTTAAAAAAAATATTAAATAGTTTAGTAAGCAAAGTAACTCCCAAATCTCCTAAATATTTTCATATTTCAATTGGGATATCATCAGGTCCTACAGACTTTGCACCCTTGGTTTACTACAGCACAAATAAAAAAGTAATAGTAAATTTTCACTGTAGACATTGAATAATATAACAATCAATAATGAAATTGATATAGGTGTTTGCAGCATTTTCTGTCATGTTGCAAGGAAGAGAAACCATAATGACCACTAAAATTTAAAAAATATCCCAAACCAAAAATACTTCAAAAATTTACATACATACCCACTCAATTCCAATGTATTTACATACCTAAAATGTAAACTTCAAATTTTACATGCATGCCACCTTGCCTATACATGTAAATATGTATTTCACTTTTTAAAAGTAAAAATGGTGGCAATTTTGACGTGATGTAAAAGATTTGGGTGGAATGTAAAAAATAAAAGTTAAGGTGTTAGAAATGCAAATACATAGGAATTGCGTGTTATGTAAAAATACTTTTCATTCATCCAAATATGATGTTTAAGGGAGATAAACAATTCTAGATTTCACCGACCAATGAATAATGCACTGACATAGCATAAGCAAATCTAGATGCTTCTTCCCGCGCACCAATCCGTAGCATTCCCTTTAAACCAAAAAGTAGAAAACCTAGACACATCCCGGAACTCCAGCAGGTGAGAAAAAAAAATCACTTTAACCACCGAACAAGAAACAAATCAATATCTTCCAACAAAAATTATAATAATAATAAATCCGTCAACAATTTCCTCCGCCAATTCAATAGTGAAATCCAATAAAATCCCCCTATCTCGTAACGGATTTTGAGCAGGATTTACGCTGGATTTAACCTAAAACTTGCCAGTCGGTCGTTCTGGACAAAATAAAGCCGCAGAATTTATAAATCCGGAGTAAATCGTGGACGGGCTTTCGCGCGAAAAGGGAAGATGTGAAGTTACCTTCCGGTAGTAACAGAGCGGAAGGAGGAGACAGATAGGAATTTCGGGTCTCTCTACACCGCGATCCCGCCGTTTCCTTACCAGTTATCTCTGATCGCAATTGTATTTGGAGGGTTTGGTCTCGAAGGAGATAGTTTTAAGCGAAACTAGGAGCTGGTAGATGGGGAGTGAAGCAGACGAGGGTTTCGGGCAGAGAGGGAGAAGGGCTTCGGACAAAGAGGAAAGAGGAGATAGTTTGAGATTTTATTTTTATTTAAAGTAATTTAATTATTTTAATTGAGTAATAATAAATAAAGAGAATTACATGTTATGTATAAATTTTCATAATAAATAATTAATTATTAAATTATTAAATTAATTATAATTAAATAAATTTTAATATAATTGTTAATAGTTTATTAATGAACAAAAAATAATTTAAGTAATTAATGCAAATTAATGTTAAATTATTATTTAATAAGTATTTAGTTTAATAATTGTAAATTAATAATAGATTATTTTAGTAAATCATTCCGTATTAACTAGCATAATTAGAATTAAATTTAATTAAATAATTATTTTTTATACTAATGATAAAATAATATTTTTTTATTATAACAAACATAATTATTTTTTAAATCCTAGTAAGGGTTGTCAGACAACTTGATTGAATTTAATTGGATTTATCAAATCCAATGCTAAATAGATTTTGAGATTTAATCCTTATAGGATTTACTAAGTTTGAATTTACAGGATTTATTATATTCTTCTAACATAAATTAAATTTGTTGTCATATAGCCCCTAGTCGGGACAGACACACTTAAGAATAAAGAATGGTAGAACATGGCATATCAACTCCAGCGAACGAAAAATGTGCACTAGAGCCACGAGGAAAGGAATGGATGGAACCCTTACCCAACAAAGCAAAGTTGGTCTCAGCTACTGCACGACGGTAATGAAAAAGGAAGAAAGAGAGAAGACCAATTTATGCAAGAAAATCTCATTTATATTTCGGAAACGTCATGTTAAATCGAAAGCTCAGTGAGAATCAACTTTTTATATGTGATTATGAGCAAAAAGAGAGCAAAAATTCTACAGAATCGCGAGAGAGCGGAAGCCAAGGGCATTGAACAGGACCATACTTTTGTATTTTTAAGAGTGTATCTCAAAGAAGTATAAATTGATCTGCAAAAATTGATTGACACGAATTCTAAATTATTTTTTATACAAATTAAAATTTTACACAAAAATTAAGAATTTAATTTGTAGATTTGAATCACACATTATTTCATAAACTCAACTTTCTTTAAGAAAATTATAGATATTTAAAACATATCACACAATTCTTGTGGTTTACATTTCTAATATCATACAATTGTTGTGTTTTTATATGTCTAATAATTAAAATTTGATAAATATATAACCAAAACTTTCAAATTTTAATTCTTTTAAAATTTAAATAATTAGAAGATATTATTTATTTGTAAATAATTGATATTAGTCATATTTTTAAAACGATATTACATATTTGAACATTTAATAAATAAATATTAAATTTATAAATACATTAAAATTATATTATTGATGGCTCAAATTACAATGGATTAGCTCGAAACTGCTATACCAAGCCTAAAATCGAGTATATCATGCCTTTAAAAGATTTGAACTTATTTTAAAGAACTCTCAATTTACAAAACTAATTTATTATGACATATTATCAAATTAATCATTGAGTATTTTAATAAAATTAAAAACTCATGAATATTAATGATTGAAATTATTAGTAAATAATAAACATTAATTTTTCATCAATTTTGAAATGATTAAACAATATGTTTTAAAATAGATTAATAAAAACTATTATTTATCTAATTTAATCTATCCTTCACTTGATAATGAGAAAAAAGATTTAATTCAAAATTATATTAAAAAATAAAACATAATATAAAAGAAACAATTGACTTTTCTATGATTTGAAATATGAATATATGGGCAAATATGTCATTCATATTTTTGTTTTAAGAAACATACACAAAAGTTTATTTTGAATGAAATTACTCATAATGATAGATAACAATCTTGTATTCAACAGTTATTATTAGACTCGTAAATAAAAACTTAGTTCGAACCTTTCTATGTATGTTTGAGCAAAGGTTAGAACCTTGACTCAAATCATGGAGGCAAATGTCTATGAAAGAGATGTGTAAAAAATAATAACTTGTCTTCGTGAGGATGTTATTAAAATTAGGAATTCACGAAGAAAGCTCGATAAGGTCAAGCATTGATCAAACAAATGGCATGTGATAAGGAGTTTGAGATGAGGGCTTGTTTGAGCTAGGCGATAATGGGACTTACATGTGAAGCATAAGAGGAGCTTGCTAGGGTTAGGTATCAACAAGATTGGTGGCATAAGGCATGTGAATTAGAATAAGCATTTAGGATAGGAGCTCATTGGGGCCATACATGATGGGATCAATTTTTTTGCAACAATTGAAGAGAATATGAATTCATAATGTGAGCTAGATGGAGTCGAGTATTGATGGAAGCTCTTTAAAGTTAAGCATCAATGAGATTGTCACGAACCCCTCACCTTGTTTGAACATGAGTTTGAATCATGTTTGAACCAAAATTTAAACTTAGGCTTGAACCAATTTCAAAGAGTTTTGATTTTAATAAACCACCTATGTAAAGAAGAGCATATCGCTCACTAGGGATAAATTTATTCAAAATGAACTCTTAAGGATATTTACTTAAGTAAATAAATATCATGATTATTATTTGCTCAGAGTGAAATATTTGATTTTTAGGGGGTACACTTTTTCATATTTTACATCTATTTAAACTCTAAAATGCTTAAGAAATGTATTTTTTATCTTAATTGTGCAAGGAGCAAGGTGAACAGTAGAATTGGAGTAAAAAAAGCGAAAATAAGCACAATTGAAGGATTTCTGACCGGCACACCCGTCTTGAAATGTCATCGCTCCCGATTTAAGCTTCAGCATGCCCGAGCCCTTACTAACACGCCTCCACCCTATGTAAAGAGTCTGTGCCAACTTCGCGTGCCCGCACCTAGAAAGATCATACTACAATTTACTTGCACCGACATCGCAAAACACTTGTGTCATACTCAGCACACCCACGCCTTAATCGTGGTGTGTCCGCGCTAGTTTTCAGAATCAATTTTGGCAAGAATTTTATTGTCATTATCAAGCTTTACCTATATAAAGTAATTCATAAGTCCGATCTTAAATATCTTTTGGCGGCTGGAGGCAGTAAGAAATGTAGGGTTTTGATTAGAGAAAAGATTACTCTTGGGTTTCTCTTATTCCTTTACATTGAAACCTCAAGAGAGATTGTTTCCCTTTGATTGCCCGAGAAGATTTGGAAATATCTATCATATGAGAGGAGAGGGTTTTTGTGGAGAAGACAAGTTTTCTTGAAATTCTTGTTTTTATTTTTTTTTTCTTACAATAAAAATCCGCATGGATTCTATGGTTGTGACTTTCTCTACAATGTGTGGCTGGTCCTTTTTTCATGTCTCTGCGATGTAGGGGTAGTAGTTTAGTCATAGTTTTCTCAAATGTGTTTTTTATTTCATGTTCCCATGCTTTCACAGCCTACATTCTGGTTAACCTCCACACTTCATTTACTCCTAGTCTGGCTAACTAGGATGTTAAAATATTTCGTGAAACTACGATATTTAATTGCTGTGTAGTAGAGACGAAGAATTAACCACAGAATTCTGAGATGATAGACATTTTCTGGTGGAATTTTGCAATCATCCCAAGGAATTAGATCAATTTAGCAGAATGTTGTGGAAATTGAGGAAGCATTAACTTCATGGATTCTAGGTTTCATTTGACCTAGACATAAGCATAAGGAGTATTATATCCCCAATTGACAACGATCACATAGGAAAACATTTACGAAGCCTCGATCACCATGATCTCCAAATCACAGAGGCACGAGCCTCATCGATCTTGAAGAGCACTCATGATTTATTCCTTTTTGCTTTATGTTTCTATTGTACTGAGATCTATTTCTATTAAGTAGTATTAGGACTTAAAAAACCTTCTTATAAACCCGCCAAGCTAGGTTCACTGGATTATTAAATTATAGGTTTTTCTACCAAAATAATTATTACACTTTCTCTATAATATTGATATGTTGTACTCTCTAACCCCATTACTCTTGACACATACACTTGTGTTGTACAACTGACTTACCCCACGGTAAGCTTTGGTGTCGTTGTCGGGGAAAGACATTAATAATTATTTATGAGGTTAGAAAACTTTAGTTGAAAATTCTAGGATTTAAGTTTGATACCTTTTGTTTTTATGTTTTATTTTTATTTTTATTTTTTTATTTTTTTGTTACAGCTATATTCCTTAATTTTTTTTCTGTAGGTGCTACAAAAAAAACTGAATAATAAAAAAGCAAAAAGTAATAGCTATTAATTACTTTTCCATCTTTGTAGTTTTTCCTTGCATTTTATATGTTGCATTTTCATTCAAGCATGTATACTGATTTGTGTGGGTCCAAGTGCTTGTGTGTTGTATAAGGTTATTATTTTTCTTTGTATGTTTCGGGGAGCTAAAACTAACCTCGCAACTTTTGACCCTGGGATTGATCACACATTTAGACGTCTTAGAAGATCTCATTCAATTTTTGAATCACTTGTAGAGATGGCTAACCCTAATTCCCCTACTATTAAACCACTTAGGGAGTATGCAAATCCGTCTATCAAAGAAATTTACATGAGTATTAATTACCCATCTGTTGAAGCCAATACCTTTGAATTTTGACCTACCATAATCCAGATGGTTCAAAACAACCAGTTTGGCGGACTTGGCACTAAAGATCCCATCCTTCACCTTCTTAATTTTCTAGAATTGTGTGCCACCTTCCAGTACAACAGTTCCCCCAATGATGTCATTAGACTAAGGATTTTTCCCTTTTTCCTGGGGGATAAAGCTAAGTTTTTGCTTAATTCCCTTGCTCCATGCTTAATCATGACTTAGAATGACTTAGTCCAAAAGTTCTTGCTAAATACATTCTTCCATCTTAAATTGCAAAATTTAACATCATTCAGTCAAATTGATGGAGAATCTATTCATGAGATCAGAAAGAGATTCAAAGACTTACTTAAAAGGTGTCCACATCATGCCCTAACTGATTGGTTAATCCGTCAAACCTTCTATAACATATTAGTAGGATTTTTTAGGTCTATCATAGAGGTCATTACAGGAGGCTC